ATATATATATATATATATATATATATATATATATATATATTGACATCAAGCTCTCAATACACAAGTGATTTTGGTTCATCTTGGCTTATATTTATATGCACAGATGTAATCTGGGAGGGATAGATAGGTCAGAAGAACGAGGCATTAAACATGTTCATTGGAGACACTGGACAAGTCATCATCACGAGGCTGTGAGGCCTGTACTGTTGGAATGAGAGCTTCCAGTAGGTGCTCAGGTATATTTACTCCGTCCCCCATAAAAAACTTGAGCATATCTATGGGGATGGGGAAGACAATGGTGGACTTCTTGCCCAGACTGATAGTATTGAGGGTCTGCAGATAGCGCAATTGCATTGCTATGGGATGTTGGCTGATCTCTAACGCGGCAAACTTGAGCGCCGAGGAGGCACGCATCTCGCCTTCTGCGGCGATGACCTTCGCTGTGGCCTCGCGAGCCGCCTCCGCTTCGGCAGCCATTGCGCGCTGAAGTTGGATGGGCAAGCGGACGTCCTTGATCTCCACTCTCTCTACTTTTACGCCCCATGCCTCTGTGACGGAGTCAAGGCACTCCTAGGCAGGAGAAAATAGACGACTAACTGTCCACTTCAACAGCGGCACCAGATTTGCATGCGTGTTTGCTTACCCGTTTAAGTACCTAATCCCTAACCCATTCATTTAATGTTTGACTAAAAATGTAGATGAAAATTGCAGCATTTGTTAAAAATGCACAGAATTTAAAAGGGGAAGAAAGTCATCCACATGCATTAGCGAATGAGAGGGGAAAGTTTCAACACTTAACCATTTGCCCTTTGGCAATCCATTACCATTTATTTGTTTTTCATTTGCATTTAAAATCGACTACACTTCTGTGCTTTAATTATTTGACTTGCTTCTGTACAAACAATCCAAACCCATAGCGAACAATGATAGCTCATGACAGCTCACGACTGGGGAGTCAAAATAAAGCTAGCATTTCTCTGGGACAGGTTTGAATACTTTGTTCAACCTATTCGGGTCCACGTACTTAGCATTTCAGGCTTTTCGAGGTATATGGAGGAAATTAGACTTGAATAGGATGCGAAGCAGCAACAGGAATGCATTTTAATGACATTTAGAACCATATGGGCGAGAATACTAAGCCAGTTGCAAAGCAGCACGATTGGAACTCCAATATGGGACGGTATTCATTGACAGCTACTTGAAACCTGCCATCTTCAAAAGGCACATTGTAGGTGTCGAAATATGCATTCTAGCTAAAGCCTAGACCTCACCAGAAAGACGCTTAATCACCATCCGAAGGGTCGAACGAATGACAAGAACTCTGAGGTTCTCAGCTATTAATTGGTAGCATTCAGTCGCACTTTCTGTGATGCATTTTCCTTGTTTGGCCCTCTTCTATCTCCCATACTAGCAGCGAAAGCTAGCACATGGGATCGCTGAATTATCTTCTACAAACCACTTGCCTAAGCTAGTAAATACACATGCTTGAAGGTCGAATTAACAATTTGCTTCTCTATCCGCGAGGCTCCGGCAGAGTCGCGAGGACTATTAAATGATTTTTGGCCAAAAAAAGTGATGCAAAGATGGAAGCAGCTCTATTAATGTTGCTGGATCCCTTTATAAGCACCCTTATTAAATATAGACACTGTGTGAACATGAAAAGGCTTACCATCTAGGGATTTAAAGCCGAAAGCGGAATGAAAGTGGGTCATAATGCAGCAATCAAATCTCCATTTCAGACTGTTGTTATTATAAACAAGACGTCAAAGGAGTGCCGTTGGGCAGGACTGTAGAAAAAACAACATTAAAGCAATAAATGCGGGGAAAAATTTTCCCTTAGGAATTTTGATGTAAAGTGAGGAAATCATCTACACCAAGTAAACCGTGAGGTGAAAATTAATGTATGCATTGATATGTGAATGTGCAGACGCAGACAAATGGAAGAGTACCAACAAAATGTCACATTCCTCTGTGGGTAGGTACTACTTCTAGGGAAGCCCAAAAATGGTCGTCAAAATAAGAAAACCATGTTGAAAATGCCAAAGCAGCTATCCCATCATTTGACTAGAAGAAAATAAGCTTAAATAGGGCATTTTGTTCCATGTAAGGGTATTTCAGAACCTTTAAATTAAATAAGGCGGTATGCTATAGTAGAGAAATGAAGGATAAGGCAAATGGATTGTTTGGATTTTTAACCATCGAGGCACGCATGGAAATCATTGGTGCTATGGTCATCCACAAGTAGGAATCGAGAATCGGGATCTGGTTTTGGTGAATAAAAGTGGGCATAATCAAGGAGGTTTTATTAGCGATTCGATTCAATTGGAAAAAACACGAGTGGAATCAAAAAAGCCTCGTTTATCGCTACCAAGATTCGGAAAATACAATTGAGATCCACTCTCAAGTGCTTGCCTTGAAGTCATATCGCCACATAACATAACATATAGGCGACAATGCAGTTTGCAGTAGAACATGCAATGATAAAAGGATCAGAAGGCACATTTTGAACGTAAATCACCCGAGATTGAGGGGAATGATCACCATATGCAGTCCATTCCTAGCTGATACATCCACCTTAAAGCTGCATGTCAGGAGGATGAGGTTTTTGATAAACTGCAGAACAGAATTATCGACCGAGTTTGTTCAAGGAACAATAAGGTGATTGCTGGACCATTACAGTCACATGTAAATAACCACCCATAAACGTTTTGCCCATTAAAGAAATTCCAAGAATGAGAAAGGTTTGATGGTATCCTGCTATTGCCTGACCAAATTAATGGCTAAAAGGGCAAAAAGTAGGAAAAAGGAGAGATAATTGTTTCATCTAACCTAAAACAGGAGCTTTCATTTAACAACATGTGCCACCGGAGTCGATACTTGTCACTGTAATAAAGAACTACTTCCCTTTGTTTAGAAAAATGGCTTGTATTTCGTTGTTTATATGCAAGAGCATGCTGAGAGTTTCTGCCACCTACCATTTAAGGCCAAAACAAATCGTTAACCTTTAACTGCAGTCGATCCTCAAATATGAAATCTTAATTTCAAACCCAGCAAGCAGTTGTTGCTTATTTAGAAGCCAGTCACAGAGAAATTGAGGTCGTATTATCAAGAAATGTCATTTTTAATTCAGAAAATTTATTTCAGGCCAATGTTAAGAATGTGACCCTTGTAGCAAGAAGAGAAAAAAGAGAGCATGTACAAAGATCAGACGCTGTCAAAGTGTCAGTGCCGTGCCGAGAAGTTAGGGCTTTAGCAATGAAATAAATAAATAATTAATTGGCGAATTAGCTGCATTGCAGCGCCTGTTCCGCAAAGGTATGTGGTAGAAGGAAGGACTGTTTCCATCCTTTATCGGGTGGCTCCTTTACACACAGCCTACTCTAGGTAGGGAAGTACCGATGACAGCTTTCGTTAGCTTCAAACAACATGCACTTGCAGACTACCAAGGACCTCTTCATGGATGTCGCCATTAAAGGGTATGACAAATTTTTGACAGATGCGTGTATTTATTTCAGAGGCTGGTAGAAAGATAGATGTACCAGATTTAATGATGGCACAACATTTTGAAATCCTTTATCTGGACTGGAAATGTTTAGCTTTTGACAGATGGGTAATTTCCTCAAGAGGGTAAGGTTCAAATCCTGCATCTTTTTTTGACGGATCCGCTGTAAAATATTAGAGATGGAAAAGAATTAAAGGGAGTGTTTACATTACTTAATGAAGAAATGTTTACAGAATAAAACATAGAACCATATTTTGGAAAAAATATTTTTTTAGAAATAGAAGTAAACAAAAAGACTACTGATAGAGATAAATGTTCACAAAATAGAATATGAGGGTGACTGACTCTCTCCTTAACTGAAGTAAACGAATTACATAAGTAGTGGGCATACCAAGGACCAAGAAGGCATTTTTACAGCGTTAGCTGAATGAATGAGATCTTACTGAGCGAAAAAAGTTTGAAAATCCACCGCGGTCAAATAGCTAACTTGAAATGTAAAACCGATTGAAGTAGGCTTTCGTCCACAGTCCAAATATCAGTCATGTTCGCATTACCCTGAAAATGTTTTTTAGTTCCCTCAAAAACAAAAAAGATTTAAGTAAGATAATAACAGTTAGGGGGTTGCTTTTAATTGAAAGCCTACGCTCCCAAAATTAGATTGCTAAATTAAGTAGGCAAGAGTATTTTCTAAATTGAAGTAGGCAATTAGGGATCCATTTCCAAGCCTTTTACTCATAAGACAAATGTGGACACTTATTTTAAAGGAAATTGGGCGAAACACTACTTGTGCTTGCCACTACCCATGGAAAAAGTGTAATGAGAAATGGGAAACTTCCTACCATAAAACCAAAGTGGCGGAACTGTAGGAGAGACTGCATAAATTATTGCAATTGTGGAGAAACAAAAAATCCAGTCCTCTAAAGCTGGCAATCTTAAGGAAAACTCATTTTTCAGCATCCTAAGTCCCGAAAAGCTGTTATATTAAGTTACGTATGGGTATCCATATCCAGTGAGCGGCTACATAATGCCCAGTTTTATGGACCGGCAAGTCGATTACACCTTTCGGGTCTTACATTTGAGCAATTTAAGCCTGAAACAACCTTTTCTGCTGTTTGGAGAAACTACACAAAGGTAAGAGTTAATTTTACTGATGGTAGAGAACCAAATAATAGAGACGAAAGACTTATCAGCAATTGCATTGAAAAATGGCCCGATATGGCAAGTAGGAATCAGACATCATTGAAACAAAATGTGGCCTTCAGAATTCAGCGAATATCACATTTTCACTGTTAAAAGGATGCTGATAACTGACGACTGGATGAGAACATACTTGCATTAGAATGGCAATATCCTCCCTCGCGGTTAGTAGTTCATCCAAATTGACAGTTCCAAGTACATTTCGGAGTGTGGTCTGGCCAAGCAGCCGCGTGGACCTATTAGCATCTTCTACATTCACCACGGCACAGACCGGATTACGGATTCGGTAGTAGACCACAGCGTTCACAGCTACTGTAAGAGAGTCTTTGGTCAGCACCTCCTGCGTGGGCACGTTGAAGGTGAAGGTACGGAGGTCAACCACACGGCAGTTGTCCAGACAGGGGAGGAGGAAGATGAGTCCTGGGCCTTGGGCTTCGGAGGCAAATAGCCGACCCAGTCGGAATACTACGGCACGCTCGTAGTGGGCCACAACCTGAACAAACCCAGCGTTAGGTTTTAGACCCTAAGGACCATAACTTCAGCACGATTCATCTACCGATTTAGCCATTCAGGTACTAATAAGGAAAAAAGGAAATGTGGCAATCAACACATGACTTATGAAAACCTGAATAGCCTTTTGAACCTCATAAAGAAGATAAAATTGCATAGGGACAATGCATTAGCCTAAATGCCTTTTCGGAAACAATAGATTTATTCTTTTCCATTTTTCAAGAGCTGGAGTAGGGAGGTTTTCTGAAGAAGGGTCTTAGACCCACAAATAAGATGCGATTCTTAATTTCCATTTTTTTCTATTTAAATTCTGCCCTTTAAAAAGGTCTCAAGTAGAAAACAACTTTGTTAATACAATTTTCCCTTATAAACTTTCCTCACCTGTGTGAAGCTATGCAGTATTTGTTGGCACTGATTCAGACCCTAAAATAGTAGAAACTCGCAGACTGCTCCCTACGGAAGTTAATAAAAGGACCTGACAAATTTGGCCCTATGGGAGAAATTATGCAACACTTTTCACCATTTATACCTAGGTGCAAATAAATTCTGCAAAATTCGGTGCAACAGATTCCATCTCACGGAATTTCTTGCAGATTAGAGCATTGGGAAACTACGGAATAATGTGTATAATTTTTGCCACCAGCATACCCTCTGTGCCAAATCATGAGAGCTGACTAGAACAAACCGTGTCGTACAAGGGGAATGCCCGAGTTTAAACAGCGAAGACGAATGTAAAGTGCTACTAGTCTGATAATACACCTCCTTTTACACCATTGAGCAGTCTAGTTGCCCCAACAGTTAAAACATCTGGGATGCGGTGGTTGCTTTTTCCTCCGAGATCCCGATAGTGATTGAACTAGTTGTGTCACCATGCACCAAAGGTTTAACTTTAGCAAGGATATTTGTTTCAGATGAATTCCACCCTTAACCATGGGGACATGTATCAATTCATGGGCTAGAGTACTGGTGATTAAGCAAATGTGAGCGTCTTTTCATACTGGGCGGTAGAATTACAAAAAAACTTCCTCTTCAGACAGCACGTAATTTTCGTTGACCTCGACTTAGACTACTGATAATGAGATCTTGAGACCACAGGCATTTTTTATGAAAAACCCATAAAATGTCAAAGGAAAATGAATGGTGTCAGACATTCCAAGAAGATGAGGTAGTCGCTTTAATCACTATACATTCGATACTAATTCGACAAAGTAAGCCACTATCATTAATTTGCTTCCTGAGCAATGCCTTAATATCCTAAGTTTAAGAGAGAAATATGTTTAAGTTCATTTTTTTGTCAATAGACTTTTGATCATAGGGCATTTGACCAAGCTTCAACTAAAGATAACAAAATTTCCTAGGCACTTTAGGACAGTCTTCTCTATTATTTACTCATTCCAAAAGGTTTAGTATGTAAAAACCCAAGATTTTCTGCTTTCTTATGGTTTTGAATTTATAGGAAATGACAAGAAACGATATAACATGTTTTCCATGGTCACTCGAAATGTAGGAGAGTGCATTGTTGTAAAGGAGTTTATATCTGTCCACCGTTTTTGAATGGCGATTTAGACCTTGGGGCGACCGCACTAGATTTTGATGAGGTTCACCATTCATAACTGTGGTCTTGGTTCATATAAGATCTGCTTATCTCAGTATAAAGTTTTTTGTTATAACAATTTCAATTTATGAATGGTGGAAAATATAAAGAAAAGAAGTTACCGCTTCAATATTTACAGATTATCAGAGAAAATGGAACGTCTCCTTCGAAGGTTTGGACTTAAAGAATCCCTAAATATACTTAGGCAGACAAAGTTTAATACGTAATGGAAGAAAAGACAATGTTTTTTTTTACAATTTGTGACCTTTGGGGAATAATAATCAACTTAAATTGGGAATAATACAATTTCAGACGGAGATTAAAAGACTTTGTTCTAAAAGTACTCTGTTAATTAGCTGTTTAACTCTCAGTTTTGATGGTGGGGCACTTAGGGCTTCGCGATTGTTTGACCTACGGGCCGTACCAGTAGGTCCCAAGCACTACAGTAAGTCGACGATACAAATTCTGCCCTAGTATTGTGTCTTCTTTTGGTTTTGGGGAGGTCACGAAGTGCCACAGTATACTGAAGCCAAAGATTCTATGTACGAACAAAGTGAGGAAGGAAAATCTTCTATGCAGTATGCACTGAGAAGGAGTGCAGAACTTGAGAAGAGGAGTAGAGTATATTATTTGTACACAGGCCATAAAAATAACAAGTACCTTATTTTGTTTGCTTTACACTTCAGGGAGACAAAGTTCCATCAGGATTCACAAAATCGTCCCAAATTTCACGCTTTACTTTTGTGGCGAGTTTATCTATTTTAGTTGGTTTATTTCTATTCGTTGATGTCATAAGCAGATAACTATGATATACATCCCTTGTTCTTCCAATTCAGCCACTTCTGTCCTCCCTGAAAACACAAACCTCGGGCAGTGACACAAATAAGGCACGTAACTTCTGGCGTTTTGGAACAGACTGAAGTAAACACGTAATGCTTAATGTAAAACAACTTCTCAAGAAACCACGCAGCTTGGTAACTTGGTGCATACTGCCATTTAGTAAGCATTATCTGCGAACATTTATCTTAACTATGAGTTCCCCTGAGTCATGTGGTCTGACCTTCTTCACAGCAGGCTGCTATCCCTTGTTTCATAAAAACCTTTTAATTCTAATTGGAAGATCCTCTACAAAATGTTTCGATTTATTTGTACCGTTGACTTGTCTCGCCCTTGCCAAATGGGATCCAAGCACCCACGTTATATAATCCCTGGCAAGATACCATTCAAATAATAAGCCCAACGATTGAAGGATAAAAAAGAAAATCTGATCATTTTTGAACCACATGCAATTCTTATTCTATGTATGACAAAGTTGTTGTACAAGGCATCAAAGAAGGCGAATTTGAATTTTTACACAGGGATTATCTTATGCCTCCGGATTAAAAGGCGCGGCTTGCTTTAAAACGCCTCATTTAGCCACAAGATTTAACTTTTTAAGATGTCGCTTTTCCTTGGTCAAAAATTAACGAAACAGCCACTTAAAACCTCACTTAAGACCAGCAACTGTGAGACAGGGGCGAGTGGCTGTAGATAGCAGAAAGAATGAGAGCTCTCTACCTTCCAAAGACTCGGGAACGTCGGGCACAAATGTCACCGGGTGTGAGTGGATAGAGGCAAGCAAAAGGTATAAAATAACAAACAATTTTGGTGGAGCAATAATCATAAATCTTTCCTATCGTTGGCTTCCTCAAGAGCTGCGCGCGACCGAAAAATTTTGCCGTCAAGTGCAAAAGTGGGGACTTAATTCTCAATGCTGCCAACTCCTACAAAGTCCATGTGTACATAGTTTTTAAAAACAGAGGACAAATAGTGTTAATTTTAAATTTAAACAGAAAATTTTAGCCCTTCGCTCCGGACTTGGCCCAAATGTTATTTTGACTTCACCTGACTAGTAAACTTTTCACCATGGATGGAAGTTGAATCAAGTACTCTTTGCTATCGGAGAAAAAGGAACAGAGAGTTGCAAAAAACATTGGAATATCCGTAAACAATGTAAAATGGCATTCGAATTGGCAAATATCAGCCCAACTCTCCAGAAAAAAGCAGCTGATTTGTGGATTCGAGAGGTGGGTCTGAAAATGTTGCAGATGGGAACGATTCTATTCTAAGTTTGCGACAGTTTAAGGGTAAGATTGAGAGCAGAATGAATTGGCTGTGACATTATGGAATTTAGTCTGGCAGTGATGGCTGAGTAACATATTATACAAGACGAGTCTAAGTCAAGTTAAATGGCATGAATTTGGGCACCTCTATAAGATGCTGTCCAGTGAGTATTTTACACAAAATTTCGGCTGCCTCAGTTCATTGTCCGCAGAATTGGAACAGGAGAGTGATTTGTCAAAAAGGTAATGTCGGTGTAGAAATGTCTGTTTTTTAAAAGATCGGACATACCTAGGCCATTTGTTCCCCCTCTAATATCCGCAAAAATTGATTTAGTTATAAATATATTTAGGGAATGAATGTGCACCTAAAAAAAGTGGTATTTTCGACACTGGTGAATTACCGTTTGGACAAGTTGGAGGAGCAGGTAGTAAGGCTCTGGTAAAGGTGACATAACAGAAGAAGGGGGCTTTTTAAAATAAAAAAAGGGAGAATAATCTTAATTTTGTTTGCGTAAGATATTGTAACTAACAGCAAACAAACCTGGATGGCCCTCTTATTTGGGATTTTCGTAAAGGTACTAGGAAGGGGTTTAACTCGGACCAGTCAATCTTAAAGGTATTAGCCAAGGCGATAAAAGTGTCCCACGAAAAATAGAATTAACTTGGTAAAAATAAAAAGACCCTTATCATAAAAATGATGAAAGGGAACAGAACCCTTTATTATCTGGCTTGTGAACTTATACACATCATTGAAGATTAATATTGTCTCGAGGAATTAATATTTAATACCTGAGGTAGAGGGAGGGGGGTGGGGAGAGGAAATTTAGCCCAAGTTTTGAGGTGATTCTCACATTTATTTCTTCATAAAACATTAAACTCACATAATTTGTCTGCTTATTTTAGATATGAAATAGCTAAAGCTCCATGTCTGTTGCCCGAGATAATTTTCTACTAGCCACATAAGTTGAACTATTTAGTTCATAATTTCTCAATAGCCATGGTTATACCATAAGAAATGTGTAGAGCAAGTTGAAAGCTGGCCATGATCGTC